TTTTTTAATTAGTGTGTCGATCACGATGAAAGAAATATACTCATAAAGATGTGAAAGAGGATCGTTAATTTATCACATTTCAAAATAGTTCTACCGTTTTACCATCTCATGAAAAATGGCAAAACGGTAAGGTGAATGCACAGCCACTTGATTTCGAACACTATCTTGGATTATCTAACAAAAAAAATATTAAAAAATAATTATACAAAATGAAAGAAATATTCTCTAAAAAAATATAAGGTATTTATTACATAATTCTAAGTGATATATCGGATGAAATATTTTAGAAAAACATAAATATTTTTGTTATTAAAAAATGTAATCTCTTGAATAATGAAACTTCATATGTGAGATGTGTTAAAAAAAATTAATAATATGGAAATGGTGAATAAAACAATATTTGTATTTAACAAATGTTGAAAATTAATTAAAGGTTTCATAAAAGAACTGACGCAATTCATATTAAAGAGTCGTATGTTGTTGCGTATCTATGACTAGTCAAACGAGAAATCTCATGACGCCAATCAAAAGATATAATATAGATTCATAGTCAAGAACCTGCCGACCATTATAGGCAGGTAACGTACAGGAAACAATATAACAAAAAGAAAAAAATCATACCAATTATTATGCAAACGTATCGAATATTTAATTATCCGAGAATTTGATTATTGATTCGGATTTTAGATTTCGAAATTCAATTGGATTATGCAAACTCGTGGATTTGGGAAAACCCGAAATTGGATATCCATATATGTCCAAATATTTATGGATATCCGTATATACCTAATCATTTGTGATGATATACCGAAAAATATATTCGAAGATTTCGAAACGATGAGACGAAGAGTAAGAATAAATTTTAGGTTAAAAATAAAAAATAATTCGGATATATGCAGACATAATAATCTCTATATCTAATATTAATATAAAACCATTGATCTAAAAAAGAAAGTTTATGAGGTGGTTTTCGAGCCACGAATTAGTTCGTGAAACACAATATCTTCTCTACCTTTTATAAAACCATAATATTATATGTAGACAATACGTACAAACAAATACACACTTATATATGTACACGACAGATACATGCATGTGTATGTATTTGTGCATGCATAAACTAAAAGGTATACTGCATAAATTACACGCGATATTCCCGACGGAAGAAAGAGGTGTCGGGAACCCGACGTGGCGATAACTTATGATATATTACTTTCACTATTTTTTTTAAATTAAAATATGAAATTAAGTGATGGGTGGTTTTAAGATCATACATGCATGATAGAATCAACCGTTGTGATCGTATTCAATCCATCAATTAATTTAATCAAAGGACACAAATCCTACTTACCCTTTTTTGTTTTGGTATTATTTTATTTTTTAAAGCTTATTTTATTTATGTAAGTGATGGGGAACGTTAAACTAAATTGAAAGATATGGTGGTCGCCCTAGCTAGCCTATGTTGTACGGAAAAATTCAAACGCATCTATTCATAGGTGTGTGTTTAATTATTATGTTTAAGTTATCCATTAATGACATTGCTGAATTTGCTCCATTAGAACTTTAATGCTCGAAAAAATTTCATGCTTTTATGAAAACATGAATTTGATTATTGTGAATAGTTATACTTGGATATGTAAAATTGGATTAAATCAAACCAAATGATATATAACTATACTATAAACAAATTTGAGATGAGATATAATATTTAACAAATAAATTTATTATATCTAAATTGAATATAGAAATAAAAAAAATATTCATATGATTCTTTTAAATAAGTATCTTTAGTACAAATTTAAATATATTCGAATTTTAAAAAATATTAAATAAAATTGATATAATTTGTATAAAATCATAAAAACTTTTAGCAAACAAATCATAAAAACTCAAACAAAATATAACCCAATTAATTTATTAAAAAAAATACGAAATATATACTTCCAATTTCATAACATTTATTAATATATATTCAAGGTCAAGATTCTTATTTAACCAAAAAAAGGCCAAGATCATTTCTCAAACATTTAAAGATATATATGTCATAAGAATTTGTAAAAAATATAAAAAGAAATGATAATCAATTTCACGATCGAGGGATTATTAATTAAACGAAACATATATATTTAATCATGTGAAGACTGATGAAAACTAATGCCGTCGAGTAGGATACCGAATCGAAACTTGCCCCCCAACTTAGGAAGAAAATAATTTATTAATTAATCTATTTATTTAACGAGAGTGATGTACTCCTATAGGCTATAACTGTAATTATAAAGGCTACTAATTTTATTTCCGCTTTTGACGAATAAACTATCAATCATTTTATAGATCATGGAATTGGGACATCTACTGTAACTTTTTATTATCCCACAATTATTTTTAATATTTTGATCTTTTAATCTTGGATATCCAATATATTGAAATACGGATATATATTCAATGGATATGTTTGAGTATAATACTTTGATACTTTAGATATTTTGGACATATTGTTTCTTTGATTTTAGATATTATTAGGTTTAAAATTTTCTATTTTAAAAATATATATAGCTTTTACTTTATTCAATTCAATTTTTTTAAGTATAAAATAATTATATCAAATTGTTTTCATTCCATTTATTTATTTTATATTCTACAGATTTAGAAAATATCTATGAATTTTTTAATTTTAAATATAAGCAAGTTAAAAAAAAATATTAAGAAATAGAATCGAACTGACTTGGTAACCTTGGCAAAATATTTTCCGTGGAAATTAAGAAAAGGAAAAGACTAAGAAGTGACTTTTGCCATTATCACTTTACTTTGAAAGTCACGTTTTTTTCTTTGGCCGGTGTGAAACTGCATGCCCCATTCTAACTTTTATACATATCAAAATTATGAATGAACAAATACATCGATATGTATAGACCTGCATTTTAATAAATGCAATATTTTTAGAATTATATATAAATATATTCCGGTTCTTAGGTTTAAAAAAAGATTGTACCTAACTTTGGCGACTTCACATATTAGAATTATATATATATATATATCCCTAGATTTGAATAGATCGTGTTCGTTATCTTTCATAGCTGATACTAATTATGATGATATTATTTTAATTATTTGGATTTTGTAATTCATGATGAATAATTGTGTGATCGATCTTTTATGACATTCACTTGTAATATATGCAAGTAATATCACTCAGTCTGATTTTTTTTTTTGGTAGCATGTGATGCAGAGGTTATATTCTTTTTAAAATATTATATGACATGAGCTTAGATTTTTCTAAATATTATCTCTATTTAGGTTCTATATCATATTTTTGCATCCATTCAGGTTTTGAATTTGACTATTTTAAATGAACAATTGTTTTATAATAAAAAATAGTTCAATTCAAATTCGGATCGTATTTACATTTGTTTTGAGTTTATGATTCTACATTAAATACATAATCAATTAACCAAATTTTAAAACTAATATCTAATCCGTTTTAAAACAATTCTTTTCGAGTATAGCTATATATTATGAAATTTAATTCGTTTAGAATTTAGATATTCCAAATAAAGCTACTAAACGTGTGAGGTTTGTAACGTGGAAGCTCTTTTTATGTGTATATTTTTTTTTCTTGAAAAATCAAGAAAAAGTATTGGTCAAGGATAAGAAAAACAAAAAAGGAGAAAAGATTAGTTAAAGAAAAAGAAAGCGAGTGAGTTTGATTTGGAAAAAAAAGGGTTTAAAATTATATGTGAATATATATAATCGGCAAAAAATAATAATTAGAAAAAAAAAAAAGGAAAGTAAGCGTGTAGGAGGGGAAGTGTGAGATGAAGGAAGAAAAAGCCACGTGTCATGGCGGACGACTACGCAAGGAGGCAAAGACGCGGGCAAAAAAGACGTGTCCTTTACACTACACTACAAGACGACCCGCCATACAAAAAAAAAAGAAGAGAGAGAAGACAATGGTCCAATGAGAGTTTAGAGAGAGAGTATACGAGAATAAACCATGTGATTAGAATTTGTGTTCGTCTTTCTAATTCGAAGTTTACGATTCTATTTTCGTTTAACCGGTTGAACGATGCAATTCGGGGTTATACGTGGCATCGTTATGTTATGGGTTGTAACTGATTTATAATGTGCATATTTGGTTGGTTGGTATCTATGATTATTTTGCCCCCACAATGTAGAATCCTAATTGTACCCATAAGCCGACACGTTACGTGTTTGAATAGTTTGATTTTCCCATCTGTCATTTTATTGATTTTGGTTTCATTCCATTTGATTTTTAAGTATTTATTTATTTACTTTTTTCCATTTTTACAATTTCAATTTATATAATGTATTTTTAAGATTCAATTTAAATTGAATATAATTATGTATCGAATTGTTTTTTTGAAGGAAGAGGCCGAACCTTTTATGTATAAACCATTTTTGTTATGGGTTCTTGTCTAATTTGAATACTCCAACCGAATCGATTAAGTAATGCAACTGTGGGATACCAGTACGACGAATAACAAATTGTTTGCAAAAAATAAACAATCTTTTTATATATATTAGTATTCCATCTAAATTCTAGTTTATATGATCTTTAACTAATGTTTTTATTACGTTTATTTGAATCGATCTGAATTTGATGTAATATATAAATTTTGAATTTCAATTATCATTCATTATTTCTGATGTGTATATATCTCTGCATTCAAAAAACAAAACTTATATAGTTATATATAAAAAAGAGTTTTTTTTTTTTTTTTTTTTTTAAAGAAAAGAAGGCACGACCAAAGGGCAGGGAAGAAGAAGAGTCAAAGAGCGAGGAATGCAAGTAAATTGCTGTGGCCAGGTTTCTAAGCAAAACTCAACTAAGTTTTGAAACATTTTCTTTATTCCCAAAGTACCCTTTCTCGCAAAACCCCACTCACTCCATCTCTTAGCCTCGCTCGTACACGTGGCACACTCCCTGTGGGCCCTACCCATCCCCCACCCACTACCTCTCCAGTTTATATATATCCTTCAACTTCTTCCTCTTTCTCTCAAACCACTCTTCTCTTCTCTTCTCATCTAAACCTACCTGCAGACACAAACACAACAAAGCCAAGCACCGAGAATCTCAAATCTTACTCCCCCAAACACTTTCCAACACTCACGGAGATTAAGCAAACAGTTGTCCAGGTTGTGGTCGGAACGGAGTAATGGCGTCTTTATCGGCGACGGCGACGGCGACGAGGAGATGGGTCAGTAGTAACCATCAGCCGCCATTATCGTCGAGGTCTGAACTTGGATGTAGCTCAATACCCATGACTCGGACAAAGCATAAGCCTAGTGTTTCATCTTCACTCCACACTCCCTCTGTTCTTCATTTCCCAAAACAGAGCTCTTCTCCTGTCGTGGCTCCGACAACATCCAAGGAATCTGATAGGGAGCTCAACTTGTTCCAGAAAGCGGCGGCTGGGGCGTTGGACGCGGCGGAGAGTTTTTTGGTTAACCACGAGAGGAAGCACCCGCTTCCGAAAACCGCCGACCCGCATGTTCAAATCGCCGGAAACTTCGCTCCGGTTGAGGAACAGCCCGTCAGGAGAAATCTTCCGGTCGTTGGGAGAATCCCCGATTGCATCAAAGGAGTGTACATACGGAACGGAGCGAATCCACTTCACGAGCCGGTCGCTGGTCACCACTTCTTCGACGGCGACGGGATGGTTCATGCCGTCCAGTTCGAGGAGGGTTCGGTTAGCTACGCTTGCCGGTTCACCCAGACGAACCGGTTGGTCCATGAGCGTGAATTGGGTCGACCCGTTTTCCCCAAAGCCATCGGCGAGCTTCACGGCCACACTGGTATTGCCCGTCTCATGCTCTTCTACGCTCGCGCTATGGTCGGTTTAGTCGACCCGAGCCATGGAACCGGCGTGGCTAACGCGGGTTTGGTTTACTTCAACGGTCGGCTACTAGCCATGTCGGAGGACGATCTGCCGTATCATGTTCGGATCACTCCGACCGGAGACTTGAAAACCGTTGGTCGGTACGATTTCGAGGGTCAGCTCAAATCCACTATGATCGCTCACCCCAAGGTCGACCCAGAATCTGGGGAGCTCTTCGCGCTGAGCTACGACGTCGTTTCGAAGCCTTACCTGAAGTACTTCAGATTCTCGCCGGACGGGAAGAAATCGCCGGACGTTGAGATAAATCTCGATCAACCCACGATGATGCACGATTTCGCCATTACAGAAAACTTCGTCGTGATCCCCGACCAACAAGTCGTCTTCAAGTTACCGGAGATGATCCGTGGTGGGTCTCCGGTGGTTTACGACAAGAACAAGATCTCAAGGTTCGGGATTCTCGACAAATGCGCAATCGATTCGTCCGGAATTAGATGGATTGAAGCTCCTGACTGTTTCTGTTTCCATCTCTGGAACGCTTGGGAAGAGCCGGAGACAGATGAAGTCGTCGTGATTGGATCGTGTATGTCTCCACCTGACTCCATCTTCAACGAGTCCGAGGAAAATCTCAAGAGTGTTCTGTCTGAAATCCGACTGAATCTGAAAACTGGAGAATCCAACCGCCGACCCATCATCTCAGAACACGAACAGGTCAACCTCGAAGCGGGGATGGTGAACAGGAACATGCTCGGTCGGAAAACGAGGTTCGCTTACCTCGCTCTGGCCGAGCCATGGCCAAAGGTCTCCGGCTTCGCAAAGGTCGACCTCTCCACCGGAGAAGTCAAGAAGTATCTCTACGGAGAAGACCGTTATGGCGGAGAGCCTCTGTTTTTCCCGCGGGATGGCTCGCCGGAGAATCAAGAAGATGACGGCTACATCCTCTGTTTTGTCCACGACGAGAAGACATGGAAATCAGAGTTGCAAATCGTCAACGCCATGACTTTGGAGCTCGAAGCGACGGTCAAACTTCCGTCGAGGGTCCCGTACGGATTCCACGGAACCTTCATCGGCGCCAGTGATACGGCGAAGCAGGCGTGATTTCCCCCAATACATACGGAGTACGTACGTATGTCTATACATATATACACACACGTACATATGTATACGTGAATCGCGGTTTTCTAGCAGGAGGGTTGCCGATTTACCTGTGGGATGCTCTGCATATATGTCCCCGGAATCGGCTCTGTTTTCCTTTTCTCTTCCCGTGTTTCTTTCGAGTCATTTGGGGTTTTGTGTGATAATCCCCATTTTTTTGGGGTCAATGTAGAAATATGAAATATTTTGAGGGACCAGCTTGTAGCTTTCGGGACGTAGGGTAGCGTTTGAAGCTCAGCTGGTTTCTGTTTAATTCTTTCACTTGTCATTGTTGTTCATCATAAATACAAATATATATATAAAAAATAAATAAAATATATAAATCTCATATATTTGTTTGCTTTGAATTACAGTATTTAGTGATACGTGATCTATATGGTAAAAAATTATCCAGCTTCACGATATTTCAGCCAACAAAAAGTCAAACGTGCTTTAGACTTGCAGAGTTTACTTTAAATTTTCCAACAAAGCTCATGCTATATTAATTAGTTAGTCAATTTTGCCGTTGCATGGAAGATCATGCAGCCAATTTAAGTAAAAGAATCTTTAGATTATACAGAAATAAATGAAATCGATCCACGTCGAAAAATAAAAATTAAAAAAGGAAAACATTAATTACACACAAACACACATGTACTTACGTGTGTGTGTGTATATATATTGGTAACGTGTATATATAATTGATAATATGAGGCCATGCAAATAGTTGAAATGACTTCATGGAATTTACCCACTAAGAGAACCCGATATTATTACAAGTCGTTGTCATAAGGTAATAGAAAAATAAAAATGTATGTATTGGGACAGAACCGTAACAGTGGATGTATAATTAGGGACGAGTGGTAATGCTGTGAAGACCAATCACAATTTGCGGAATTGTGGGCAAATAAAGAAATAATAAAATAATACAAAATCCAAAAAAGCAAAGAAACAGAAGGACAACGTTTTTGTTTTCTTCCAAATAAATGTCTGTTTCGTTATCGTCATTATTATTCAATGGAGACAATATGGTTGGTGTTTTGTACATATATAATTAATTTTATATTAGGTTATTCTTTTTATTTTTTATTTTGGAATGGGTTTGTATACTGTGGTGAGATTAAGATAATTTCAAAGTTAGATATGATTTGTCAGCTTTAATTAGGGAGGAAGGAACATTCAAAGATTATGTTGTGTCTTTTTCAGTTCCCTTGATTAAGGAACATGGAGTTATTTAGAGATGAATATTTACATTTGATTTTGGGTAAAAATAAAATTAAATCAAATCTAACCAAATACTTATAGTTATATCTACATAACAACATTTTATTATATTTAAATCTAAAATCCAATTCAGTAAATTCTTTTAAAACGAAATAAGATTGATAAGAATTGGATATTAAAATAATAAAAATAGATATAAAAACTCATTAAAAATTTTGAAAATATTTTAACCGTCCATTATAGTATTAATAAGAAAATGTCACGTGTCGGAGTTACATAGGATAGAGAAGAAATGGGTGCAAGAAAGTTGCCATTCCATTTGATGATTCTTGAGGATAAAAAATCACATTCCTTCACCATTTCCACACACAAATCACAAGGATCCAAAACAAGAAAAATGATAGAGGAAACCCTAGTTATGATATGAGCACCATGCAATGCAAATAATATATATATAT